TAGCAAAATGACAGTGATGAAGTCGTTTTATGGTTAGGGGGTCACCACCACATGAGGACCTGCATGAAAGGGTCGTGGCATGAGGAAGGTTGAGAACCACTGCTGTGGAAGGTTAACACCCTCGGGAGCAGTGTCTGGGGTGGGGTTGGGGGGCTTCAGGAGGGGTGGGGTGTTGTTTTTCCCTGTAGTGCACACCAAGGGCATGGCACAGATTAGACAAGGTGAACGAACATATTTGTGGAGTGAGTAAAAAGTGAGGCAGATCCAAGGTTCCAACCCCAAGCCACGACCTTGATGGTGTGAAGTCAAAGAGGGGATATGAAGCAATCTATTTTCATTCCCAGCGTGTATTTCCTAAGTCCCTTTCTTTGAGGAAAAGGAAGCAGTAGGAATGGAAGGAGGGGGGGAGGGGGTGTTGGTCAGTGGGGCAGCTCCGAGAGCCCGTGGGTAAGTCACCGTGGTGGGCTCTGTGACGGGGCTGCAGTGGCCACCGCACCCTGCTTGGTTTCTTGGTTTCGCTGCCCTTGGCGTAACACACCGCACGCTGGTTACTTCAGCCGATCTTTGCTGTACCCTCCACTCTCGTCAAGGAAGCCACAGCTGGGCAGGCCAGATGGCCTCCCATTAGGGCCATTTGTGAGGGCCTTGCCTTTATTCCTTTAGGCACCCCAGCCTCTCCATGATTTAATTTGCTGGGCTTTGTGTTTCAGGGAACCCGGGGTGGGGAGCTGAAAACACGAGCTTAATAGTTAACTTTTATTGTCATGGCCGAGGGAGGGAATGCTGAAGGAGACGTCATAAACGTGGTCCTGGAACCCTTCGGAGGCCTGACCATGGCAAAGAGGGAGCCTGGCATGTCACCTTAAATGACATGAAAGAATTACAGCCCAATGTCATGTTAAAAGCAAACAGACCGACCAGCTGGGCACCCAACCTGCCGTGCTCCCCATTTTTCCTTAAGGAATGTTAGGGGGCCCTGCACATTGCTGGGCCATGAGCAAGGCGGCAAGGCCCCAGAGCTCCGGGGAAAAGAGAGCATTAACAGGGGCTCCATGTGACCTTGCAGGAAAACCTGCCAAGGTGGAATCCTCCAGTCAGCCAATGACTGTGACGTTGCCATAGAAGGTAATAAAACCAGTCAGAATTGGCCATTGAACAGGTTCAATGCTAGGTACGAGAGCTCCCTGTCCTTTTTTTTTTTTTTTTTTAAAGCAACAGTTAATATATACGGTCTTAAGAAGACACACGTAGAAATACAGATAGGTGTGAACCCAGCTACGGCTAAGCAAAGTGGCCATTTTCCTCGTAAGCAGAGCTCCTCTTAAACCAAAGACCACCCCCCAACCAAAAAACCCACTGCCACTGAGTCTACTCTGACCCACAGTGACCCCAAATAGGGTTTTTGAAGCTGCGAAGGTTGTGTTTGTTTTTCTTAGGCTGTAAATCTTTATGGAGACAGATAACCTTCTCTTTGTTTGGCCAAGCGGCTGGTGGGTTTGAACTGCTGACCTTGTGGTTAGCAGCCCAACGCCTACCTGACACCACCACCAGGGCTCCCCCTCATGACTCTTCTACACCACCTCACGGTAAAGGACGCCACAGCGGTCTGGAAGACAGATGACTTTCTGCTCCTGCGTCCCCCAAGGAGACAAAGCGGCTGCTTACAGTTTTCATGGCTGCAAGACGGTTCCAGAGCTGCCCCTGTCCCTTGGGCTTGAAGTTGATGGTCAGTAAGTCTCACGTGGTGGCTCGTTCCCCGTCGGCGCAACGACAGCCAGAGTCTGCTAGACTCCTAACGAGCTAACAAGGTGACGGGAAATTCCAGGTCAGGTTTTAATCAAACCTTTCAGCCAAGTTTTTGCTTTGAATTTTTCTCCATGCCTTCATTAGGTTTTGCTGGCTGATTTTGATTTTCTTTCTTTTTCTTTTCTTTTTGGTCCTCCTTAGAGGACTGCTTTTGTGGTTTTTATTGTACATCACGCCTGGCATTTATTTGGAGAGGAGGTGAGCTATCACCCGTGCAGTGGTTTTAAATTTGCTGAAAATTTAACTGGGCGTGAAAACCACCCGCTGAGTTAAGCGCCGTGGGAGAAGAAGCCAGGCCGATGCATTTCAGGAGGGCTTACCCTCATGGTTCTCCCCACCACTGTGCCGTGGGAGGGAAACGTTGCTTAGCTCTTTGAGCGGCGGCCAGCCTCCCAGAACAGATCTCTTCATTTCGGGGAGCAACCACGGGGATGGTTTATGGGGCAAGGTGGCCCGGGAAGCCACACTGACGATTGGGAAAAGGTGATTGGCTGCCACCAAGATGACGATCCAGCCTGGCTGCTAAGATCCAGTCTGCCCGGGCGCTACTTGAGAAAAACATGACACCTCGTGTTCTACAGGCTGGCAGTTTGAATGCCCCCTGGGGAGCTTCGAGAACCAAGCTGGAATGCGCCCGTCTTCAAAGGTTACAGTCATCCCTTGGATGCGACTTTTATGACCCCCGAGCACGAGCACGGACACTGCGCAGACATCTCCCCGCACATTTACGAGAGCCCCATGCCCTTGACTCCCACACCTGCCTTCCCCTCAGGCCCATGGACCGACCGCTACAATGAAAGCCAGTTACGACGTCTTGCCTCACACCCTGGAGAAGGATCGCCAAGACACCCCCTGCACCTCGTCCCATCGCAGTAGACCCTTGGAGGGGCTGTCTCCCTGCGTGACCATGTTGCAAGAAAGGTGTTACTCAAATGGCTTGGGCTGCATCAAGGCCACACTTTTGTTCACGGGCTCCGGTGGCCCGGATGGTTTCCAAAGCAAGATGTCACCACGGATTGGGGGGTGTGTGTGACTCCCGAATGGCGGTGGTGGTTTGTCTCGCCACCAGACCAGCAGTTCCTAGCTGTTCTTTCTGCATCCATAATTCCAACCTTGGCAGGACCCCAGAGCCGCGGAAGAGCTGTGAGCAGTGCTGAGATGCTCTCTGTTTTACTCTATCTCGGAAACACCCCATCCCCCTCCTTCCAGGGGGAGCCCATCGCCTCAGCCTGCACCTCACGTACGGCACACACCATGCTCTTTCTTCCATTACAGTCACCCGCGTGCTTCTCTTACACCGCCTGTCCTTGTCTCACCGGTGGATGGCTCCTGGCAGCTAGCACAGGTCTGGGCATCTAAAAAGCCCCCAAGCCGGGTGGCTGAGAGATCCGTGGAGGCCTCGGATTCTGGAGTCAAGGTTTCCCCGGCATTCTCTCCTCTGCCCTTCTCCAAGGCACCGCCTATACGAGATGGTTCTGGAGTTCACCTTTGCTGAGGAGATGCCTCCCTCAGGCTGGTTCTCTTTCCCCGGGGGCTGTGTTCTTTTGTAGGTCCCTGCCAGGATTTCCTTTTCTCCTCTGTTTTCTCCAGCTTAGCCCCCCGGCCAGCTTTTCCCCCCTGGGTTGGATCAGCGCTGCTCAGTAGGAGCTTCTCCACCTGAGACATTCTCTTCCCACTACTACAGAAGCAAGCCCGCCCGCCCCAACCTCTGGGTCCTGCCTGGCAGAACACCTTTGTTAGATAAGCAAGGACATTTCCGGATTCACCAACCATTTCTCTTAGTCTCACTTTGACACTTATGCTGATCCACCTCAGCTGCTAACCCAGAGCTGAGCTGTTCGAACAACACCCCCCCCCAGCCACTCTGCAGAAGGATACCGGGCTCTGTACCTGTGAAGATTCACAGCCTGGGAAACCTCTCGGTACACTCGGTCCTGTCGGATCACCGTGAATCAGAATTGACTCGTCAGCAGTGGGCTTTGTTTGGTTATTTATTTAGCCAATTTGTGGGTCACAGTATCAGGAAATTCCTCAGATCAGTTTCAGTTCATTGATTCTCTTCCCGTTGTATCTACTCATCCACTCGGCCCATCTAATTCATTTTTTGTTTTTTCCTGAAAAATCATCTGCGGTATTTTTTCCCCCCCGGAGATCTTTACTCGATTCCCACAGGGACGGTTTCTTCTTTTTAACTTCTCATCTCAGTAATCCTTTTCCGTCCGGTTGCCCTTTTAGCTTCCTTCCTTTGGAGCAAAGCTCTCTGTTTTCTGAAGCCGACCCTCTCTCTCCCAGATGCTTTCGAAGCGCTTGCTGTGAACTCGGCCGATGAGAGTGCAGTGCACGCCTTAGGCTGTGTGGGCCTTCCACCGGTGCAGCGCCCCTCGAACCGTGACCAACTCTGCTTACAGGTGCTGCCCTGCTTGGGGCTGCCATGGCTGGCTCAGCATATGGCTCCGTGTCTACCCCCGTCGCCCCCCTCCATCCGCAACTTCTGATTCACAAAGCTTTCCCTTTCTGGTCTCCATGCATGGACCATACTGTATGACTTTGTGCCTGACATCGTTTTAATCACGGGCAGAGGAGTGGTGTGTAGTGATAGTTAGATTTTTGGTGCCAACATGGCACCTGTAAGAAGATATGGGTGGAGTTTAGCCTGGCAATCCGTTTGCAGCTTGAGGACCTCCTCTGGAGTCTGTCTGAGATAAATAAATGGCTCTCTGCCTTCACCTTCCTGCGGGTGAAATGCTGGGACCCGCCACTGCCACTGGATCCACACAATTCCGTACCTACCGGCCGGTGACTTTCCTGCCTTCTGCGTCATTGCTTGTGACTGTGTGGGGCTGAAGGGGGACTCGCGCTAGTATTGGACTTATGGACTTGAGTTGGACAGCGCTGGGATCTTTTCTTGATATACACTTCCTCCTTGATAGAAAGCTCTTTCTTACACATACTTGAGTGTCACGGAATTTGTTTCCCTAGTCTATCTGGCCTCACACCGTTGTGGAAGCAAAGCTTTGACAAGAGAAGCACAAGAAAGATGTGCACACAGAGACAGGAGCACCTGCAAGCCGTCCCCAAGTCCAGGAAGGCAGCCAGGCTGCGGCGGCCTTGTCTTTGGGGGAGTTGGGAAGAAGAACGCTCTCCCAGAGAGCCCTTGCTTTGAACAGCCCGGCTTTGGGGGGAGCGACCCTTACCTGTAGTACCGAGGCCAGTGTACTCAGGGGATGGGTTGCTGACCGGGGAGGAGGGAGGTGGCACTTCCACGGACGTGGCCGATTTTGCTGGAGAAAACGATGACACAGGTGAAGGGGTTGGCGGGGCCGCCTCCGTCAGAAGGATCTCTTCGCGGACTTCGGCTACAGACAGAGAAAAGAGTGGGCTCTTACAGCCAAACTGCAAGGCGAGTTGTCTTCACCCTTTGCCACCGAGTGGAGTCTATCTAACTCAGTGAGACTCTGGGGGGGTGGGGGTGGGGGGCTAGTGGGTTCAGAACTCTGACTTGGCAATTCGCAGCCAAGCATGTAACCGTTGCTCCACTCAATCTTCCTAGTTACCTTCAAAGCCCACCCCACGGCTGTCAGGTCAGTTCTGACACTGAATGACCCCATTGGGCAGAGTAGATCTGTTCCACAGGGTCCCTAAGACTGCAGAAGGAGCAGAAAGCTTCATCGTTCTCCCATGCAACATCTGGTGGGTTTGAACTGCCGACCTTGGGGTTAGCAGCTCAATGCTTAACCCACATCGCCACCAGGCCCCCTAAGTTGTCTTTAGAGGAACTTCTTTCGAATCTGTGTTCTATCACCCTGCCCCACCCCCAGCCTAAATCCTTTCCATGGTTTCCCACCGCCACCATGACTTTCCAGGCAGTTCCTATAAGGGGCATGCCCACTTCAGAGAGGGAAACACCACGACTGGTATCCTATCCTTTGATAAGCCCACCAAAATGAAGTTCTTTGGGACACGGAGTTAAAGACGCAGAGAGCACGGATGTTCAGGGTGCAAATGCCCCAAATCAGTCCGTCAGCCCCTTTAACTTACCCGTCCTACCCTCGCCCTTCATAGCCCGCATGAGCTCGTTGGCCCGCTCCTGACAGTGCAAGGATTCTAACAGGTAGAGCACGTAGTCGTCGAACATCAAGTGGATTAGGTGAAAAGACCCTGTGGTGAGAGAGGATCCAGACAGAAAGGCAAACCAGGTCATCTCGTGTAAGCCTCCCCCGCCTGGTCCCCAGCACACGGTACACACTGTGCTCTTTCACACGGTCTTTGCAAAACCTCGCTCCCCGCCCAGCTGCGAACTCCCCATGCTCAGAGACGGCTCCTTCGTAGCTGTCTCCTCAGCCGAGCTCAGCAGGATGCACAAGTTAAGTGGCATTCATAGCCTGTGGCCCATGAATCTTTTCCCTGGATGATCAAGGGCACCATCAAAAGTGGCACTGGGGAAGCCTGATGCTTGTGAGGTCCCACGTACCCACGCTGGACTGAACTCGCCGCGACACCCCTCCCCTCATTCAGCAGTGACTAACAGTGTCTTTCCTTTTGAAGGCTTCCATGGGTGTGTGTGATGTCCCCAGTTGGGATTTAAGGGTCTCCCGGGTAGGGAGACCAGAAATGGGCCCCTTAAAGGCAAGGATGGTGCGACTTGGTTGCTTGTGCTTTGGACGTGTTGGCAGGAGAGACCAGTCCCTGGAGAAGGTCATCATGCTTGGTAAGGCCCAGGGACTGCACAAAAGAGGAAGGCCCTCAATGAGATGGACGGCCGCAATGGCTGCAGCAATGGGCTCGGGCATGAAACAACTGAGGGCACCGCGCAGGACCGGGCAGCGTCTCACTCTGTTGTTCATAGGTTCGCTCTCAGCTGGAACTGTCTCGATGGCACCTAACGATCCCACCAGCAACATGGAAGGGACTTGCCTTCTAACTCACTGGGATCGCCCAGGGTACTAAAGGGATACTGGGATTGGAAGGAAAATGCTCACTGGTTTCCCCAAACGTCCCTGAGATTTCCTTTAGCAGGAGGTTCTTAGCCGGAAAAGCATCAGAATGAAAAGATTTGGTATTTTCAAATAATGCCCTTCATTTTCTACTTAAGAGTGGATTGTTTCATAAAAAGTGGATGTGGATAATCATTTTAAATGATATTTTCTATGTAGTTCCCTCTATATGCTCATAGCCTGACTTAATTTAATCTCCATAACCACTCACTAAGGTAGGTGTTTCGTGTGTGTGTGTGTGTGTGTGTGTGTGTGTGTGTATGATTTCTTTGATTAAGTGGGAGGCTCAACTCCAATTTTCTCTCTGAACCATAGACTAGAAGAAATTAACATGAAAAAATAATCCATAAACCATCAAGGGTTCATGAGGGAGGGAGGGTTGGTTGGGGACAGGGGATAAAAATGAGGACCCGCTACCAGGGGCTCAAGTAGAAAGAAAATGTTTTGAAAATGATGATGGAAACATATGCACAAATGTGCCCGACACAATGGACGGATGTATGGCTTGTGACAAGAGCTGTATGAGAGCCCCCAGTAAAATGATTTAAAAAAAAAGAATTTTATCAATTAAAAAAGAGAAATTACTGGCTTGTAGCTTCTACAAATTTTATTAAACTCTAGGAATATTAGGTGGAAGCTTGGAGTGTGACTTCACACATGGGTTGTTAGAGAATTTGTTGTGCAAGTGTCTCTACTAAGTCGTATAGAGGACATGTGCAGGGTCAACTGATAAATCCTATGCATATAAATGCCTAGCAGGTCATTAAAATTAAGGTAGGTGTTTCCATTCCTATCCTGCAGATCCAGTGTTTTTTACAAGGTGATACAGCTTTCTCGTGTGTCCTGCTACCATCCCGGCACAGTGGAATTGTCTGCACTTTGTAGAGGCTCACTTACCGTCTGCTGTAATCAAGGAACCTTGGGTGCCACAGGGAGAGAAAGGGGCCAGTCTTTATCCCCAGGTCCACATTTCCATCACCACGTGGACAGCCTGCCATCTCCTGGAATGTCCCAAACTTCTTGCCCATCTCCTCAGAAGCTGACCTCCTGACCCACCCTCCCTCCCTCCCTCTAGTTGGTTTCTCTACAATCTGATGGGACTCTTGCATTAGAAAACAAACAAAAAACACTTGAATTATCATCATCGCCTCCTCTTCCTCATTTGTCATTATCACCACTGTCATCACCAACACAACTACCATCTACTCAAGACTTGCTGTGTGCCAGGAGCTCTGTTGAGGACTTCACATAGCACCCCATCCTAACACCGGTAGTCTCCCTATGTATAATTCAGTGGGAGGGGCCTCGGTTTGGTTTGGCCCAAAGCTCTTGTTTCTGCTCTGCTGCCAATCACCTGTCCAACTTTATCACGGCAGAGATGGGAAAATTAAACCAAGATAGCATAAGTCACTTGGCCCCCTCCAGATTTCAGAAATAAGTTTAGAGGACGCTTCCGTGGTGAGCGTTATCCGTTTGCTCCTTCTGAAGTGCATCTGGGTTCTGAACTTTCCTGCTACCCTGTCTTCCTTCATCTCACATAGACGAGTTGATTTGACCCTAGGAAGGCTACAGAGGAAAAACCCTTTACTTAACTCTGAGGGCACTGGGGACCGGGCAGGTGACACACTTTCCCCTGGATGACCCTTCTCCATGGAGCCTGCCACAGCCTCCAAACCTGGTGCTCACGGGGCTAACTACCAAGGTCTTCCCATCCTTGAGCTTCCTTCCTATGCTTCTTCCACCCCAGGGTGCTGTGTTCATGTTTCATCTCCATTTGGAATTCAGCAAGGTTCAGGTTCTGAACTTTCCATCCCCGCCTCCCCCTAAATGGGTCCTGACTGAGGAGGCACAATCGTGTCGGGGAATTGGATGGGCTCGGGGCCAAACTACCCAGATGGAGGTCCCAGCTCTGCCACGTAGTGACCGGAGCCTTGTGTGAGTTACTTCGCTTCCGACGGTAAATCTTTAAAGCCAAACCAAACATTTACCCAGCCCTTGCTCTGTGGCCGCCACCAAGCCAACCACAGACACCAGATGAATTGCCGTCTTTAACCTTCATCCCAGCCCTGTGAGATGAGTGATGGTCTTCTTTTACGGATGAGGAAGTGGGGCCTTGAGAAGTTACTGCCCAAGTGCTGTGTGGTTTGTAAGTAACAGAACCAGTGTTGAACCCAAGCCTGGCTGATTAGGAAGTCATCCCTTCATCAGGACCCTATACTGGCTTCCTAACTGGATGACAGTAAAGCCTACATTTCACAAGGACCACAGTGAAGAAAGATGCGCACTAGATGCTTAATAAATGGTCAACGCACAGCCATTGAGTCGATTCTGACTCGTAGTGACCCTACAGGGCTGGGTAGAACTCTCCCTGGAGTTCCCGAGACTACCTCTGCGGGAGTGTACAATCCTAATCTTTCTCTGTGGGAGCAACTGGTGGTTTCAAACTGCTGACCTTGTGGCTAGGGCCGAACTCATAACCACTGTGCCACCAGGCCTCTAATAAATTGTATCTGTTGTTATTATCCCTAAGGTCCCTTAGGCTAACTAATGCTCTTAAGAGCCTATGCAGTGACTGCTTTGTACATAGAGTTGGCACCAAAGGAGCCAAGATATGACATCAGACAGTGTGTCCAAGGTGGAATATTGGCTGGGATGTTGAGCCAAGTCAACAAGGATAGCAAGAGAGAGAAGATAGAGACTGAAATACTGAGTTATATTGGGAGGGTAACAACAGATTTTGGTGCGTGGTTTTAGTACATAGTACAGGCTGACACCTTGGAAACCATCTCTACAACTCCCTTGTTTTGTAGACCAGGAAACAAGGAGAAGAAGAGGTGGGGAAACCCTACTGTGAGAAAACCCTAGTGCTGGGACTGCAGAAGTGCTGGTGTAGGGCTTCAGCTCCATTTCTTCATGACTGTTGTCAGTTACTTGATTGATCTCCATACCTTTCAATCATCCCTTGAGCTACAGGATTGCCCAAGAACTACTGCTACCTGGCTGCTATTGTGCTAGGAAAGAAAGCCTGAAGCTCAGTGCCTGACGTCACAAAATTGGCCGATGTCCTCATATTCCTTAGACATCAGTCATCAGGATTCTTGGGCAACCGGCAGTTGAGTGCCATGGTGGGGGTCAGGGCCATGGGAGCAGTGTAAATAGAAGACAAGAAGATATAAAAGGCGATCAAGAAAAACTGCTCAGAGAGAGAGAGAGAGAGACAAGCTTCAAGTACATATACAAAGAGATCACTCTAAGGCCTTAGCATTGACCACTGTCCACGTGGTGTATTTATTTATCTTTTGCATGCCTCACTCCACAGAATACAAACTAGAAAAATGAAGGGATTTTCTTGCCTTTTGGCCCTGCTCAGCAAAACCTGGGTGGCTCGGACAGTGCCGGGAACAGAGTAAGAGGCTCACTGCACATGTGCCAGATGAAGGGAGTGGGCACACACCGGCCACTTGTAATGTGTGCCACATGCAATCTCAAGACAATGCGATTATCATAATCCATTGACCAGGGGGATAAAAGCTCAGAGACTTTTAATAAACTGGCCTCAAGTAACAGATCCTCACAGCCAGTTCATCCGCCCCCCGCCCCCTCCTTACAGGGCATTAAAATAGAGACCAAGTGGGGTTTTGTGGTGGTGGTGGTGGTAGGGAAACATGGAGATTGCATCAAGAGAGAAGCAAAACTCAAAACTAAACTCCCTGCCACTGAGTCCAGGAAGAATCCTAGCGACCCTATAGGCAGGGTCGAGCTGCCCGCCCCTGTGGGTTTCCGAGACTGCGACTCTTTTTTCTTACGGAACATTTCCCACTCAAGGAAAACACAGAGGATTTAAAACTGAACACCGGTGCACTCACTGCCCAGCTTATGAAATCTTAACATTTCACTAGATCTGCATGAGATAGCCAAGGGGGAAAAACCAACCAACCAGCAACGACCAAGATAAAAATCCCTGTGTGTGGAGCTTCCCTGCCTTCATCCTGCTCCTCTCCCTCCTTGTGGTCATCTCCAGTTGTAATCCCAGCCTTCAAGCTGGTCTTTACTGCTCATGTGTTTCAAGCGCTCCCATGCTAACGGGAAGGTTGGCCGTTCGGTCAAAGGCCTGGCACTCGATGTTGCAAAACTCAGGCAGGGGAGACCCTGAGGTGTGCAGCT